GAACATCATAATTATTGCTTAGACGAATAAGGAACACAAGTACAACCAATTAATCAATCCCTTCAAATATAAATTCTTTCGCCTATATATTTTTCAAATAATAATCTTCAGGATATAATATTTTCCAGCAAATATATTTTCAAGTAAAAGTCACCATGTGACACCTCATTTCACAATCATAAAAATTACGGGTCTCAGACCACTTTCATATTTTTCCACGGCATCTCGTGCCCATAGTTCTATCACTATTACACGGACAACTCACGTGTCAAAATATCAATGTATATAAGATCCGCAGGATCAATTTATTTTCACTAAAGTAAGGTTAAAATCTTTAAATCAAGTAAGAAATCAACAAAGGAATGAATTTATTTTAGAAATCATTTGCGTGAAGAAAATGACATTTCAATTAAAATGAAGCATCCGATGACTACTAATTTGGATGTAAAATTTATTAAATTAAAACATAATAGCAATTTCTTTTACTCCAAACAACTCAATTCTCGAAAACAAGTAAAAACCATAAATACAAATATGCAGAGTCTTGTACAAAGAGTCAAAGCCAACACAATACAACAAGGAATACAAAACACATAATAAAATCAAATAATACCCACGGAAGAACATAAGAATTTACATATCACGGAAAAATAAAATAACCAAAGGCAAGTGCATCCATAAAAAAATATCAACAAAAGGGCACTCCCGAGGTACCGCCTCGTAGTCCCAAAAGTAAATATGCAAGACAGGGGGGATCTCCCGAGGTACCGCCTCGTAGTCCCAAAAATAAATATGCAAGACATAGGGGATCTCACGAAATACCGTTCCGTAGTCCCAAAGTAAATATGCAGGGCAGGGAGATCTCCCGGAATACCGTTCCGTAGTCCCAAAGTAAATATGCAGGGCAGGGGGATCTCCCGGAATACCGTTCCCTAGTCCCAAAGTAAATATGCAGGGCAGGGGGATCTCCCGGAATACCGTTCCATAGTCCCAAAGTAAATATGATTTCAACAACTGCACATCAAGTGCTCACATATCACAAATGGCTCATCAAGTGCTCAAATATTACAACATATCACAAATTACACATCGAGTCCTCAAATATTTCAATTTGCCACAGAAATCAACAATACATCATTTTTCTAAGGAGCCCATGGCTCGACCATAATGTGCACAAAATCTTAACAAAAATAGTTGGGAGTGAACAACTAAACAAAATAATATTTCACATAAATTCAAGGTGTCAATCACACCAAATCATCATAGAAAAACAATTTCAACAAACAAGAATCTAGGCATGACAAATAGAGGATTTAATAAGTGTCAATAGTTTCCAACTTAATATATAAGGGCGTCTAAGGATTTTAATCAACGAAATTTGCACATATAAACCAAGTACGTACTCGTCACCCCGTGTACATGGTTTTCAATCATACAATTTGCACATAATACTCAATGCCTAAGGGGTATTTCTCTCATTCGAGGTTAAGCAAGACACTTACTTTTTTGAAGTTATGTCTATATTCCAAAATTATCTTCTTGCTTGAATTGACCTCCGGACCGCTCAAATCTATCCAAATTAATTATATAACGTCATTAAAATTTATCAAAAATAATTCCGGATAATAATACGTCGACTTAAAAATTTATTCCAAAAAGTCAACGCGGGGCCCACCCCTCGGAGCCCGACATAATTTTTATGAAATTCGAACACCCATTCCGATACGAGTTCAACCATACAAATTTTATCGAATTCTAATAACAACTCGACCTCCAAATTTTAAATTTTTGTTTTTGGAAGATTTTTACAAAACTCTTGATTTCTTCCATTAAAATCCGAACTGAACGATGAATAAAATCATAGATTCATGAAATATAAATACTTTAGGATATAGAACACTTACCCCAATCTATATGATAAAAATCGCCTCAAAAATCGCTTCAATTCGAGCTCCATAGCTCCAAATATGTTAAAAACGGCTGAAACCTCAAAATATAGCTACTGCCCAAGTATTCACTCTTCGCGATCGGGAAAAATGTTTCGCGATCGCGAATCACAAAATTTTTCAGCCCCAAAATTGCTATTTGCAATCGCGAAAAACCAATCGCAATCGCGAAGAACAAACTCCCCAACTCTTCCAGACAGTCTCTAGTATAATGGTCATAACTTTTTGTACAAAACTTCAAATGATGAATGGTTTAACTTTCTGCAAACTAGACTCCAAGGGATATAACTTTCATTTGTTTCTCATCTCCTAATTCCTTATAGATTTCGAGATATAAGCTTCCAAAATCAACCCTATGCAACAGAGATTTCCAAACTCTTCCCGGACAGCCTGTAGTATATCCATCATAACTTTTTGTACACACCTCCAAATGACAAATGGTTTACCTTTCTGAAAACTAGACACAAAGGGCTTTGGATAATTTCTAAATTTCTTATAGATTGTGAGATATGAGCTTCCCAAATTGGGTCAGTGCGGTAAGAGTTTCTCTACATGATCGTGAAAAGTCATCCGCGATCGCGATTCACAGTGTCGAAACAACAAATTGCTCTTCACGATCGCGACCGTTTATCCGCGATCGCGATGCATACCTCTGTGTCCAAAAACCAATAACTAAAAATGGCCTAAAATGGTCTGAAACCACCCCGAAACTCACCCGAGCCACTCGGTACCCCGTCCGAGCATACCAACAAGTCTCAAAACCTATTATGGACTTAGTCAAAATATCAAATCACATCAAACAACGCTAAAACCACGAATCATACCCCAATTCAAGCTTAATGAAATTAAGAAATGTCAACTTCTACATTCGACGCCGAAACCTATCAAATCAAGTCCTATTGACCTCAAATTTTGCACACAAGTCATAAATGACATAACGTACTTATGAAAATTTTCAGAACTGGATTCCGACCCCGATATCAAAAAGTCAACCCCCCGATTAAACTTCCCGAAAATTCAACTTTCGCCATTTCAAGCTTACTTCCACTATGGACCTCCAAATAATTTTTCGGGCACGCTCCTAAATCCAAAATCACCTATTGACATCATCAAAATTTCATTCCGGGGTCGTTTACTTAAAAGTCAACTCTCCGGTCAACTCTTTCCATTTAAGCTTCTAAATAATGATTGTTCTTTTAATTTAATTCCGAATCTTCAGTAAATCAAACTCGACCATACCCGCGGGTCATAATACATATTGTGAAACTGTTCGAGACCTTAAGTCAGTGAACGAGGTGTAAATTCTTAAAACAACAAGTCGGGTCATTACATATTGGTTATCTGATAATTGGAACTGCATTAGTGACAGAGCTATTGACATCAAACCAAGCATTTGCTGGAACTTTAGGTGGTATTTGGAACAATTGGTTTCTGAAATAGTTTTAGAGACCGTTTGACCAAGTCGCAAAAAACTGTTTATTTTTAAAAGTGCTTTTGTTCAAAAGTACTTTTACAAAATAACAGTTTGTGTTTGGTCAATTCGTTTGAATAATATTTTTTTGCAAGCTCATTGTGTTTGGCTAATCTTTTAAAAAATACTTTTAAGTATTAAATTACGAAAACGGACAGTAAATGTTCAATTTGCAATTAGTATTACTTAGAAAAGAAAAATAAAATATTTATTATAAAAGCATTCAATTAAAATATAAAACATAGAGTAAAAATATAATTTAAAATTTTTAATCAATATAAAATATAGCTATTCTAAAGCAATAACATTGAGTATTTGGTATTACTTATTCTTTACATGATAATTTAAATATGTCAAAATACATCTTTCAATATAAATTTAAAATCTACTCTTAGGAATAGGAGAAAGAGAGTAAAAATATGATTAAAATAAAAATGAGAAGAAATGTATAGTAGAAATAAAAAGGAAAAGGAAAAGGAAAAGAGAAATATTAAATTAATGAGGAATAATTTGGAAAATATAAACTTATTGTAAATTTATTTTTGTCTTGAACAACTTAATTTTCTCCTTTGCTTCTACTTCTTGGAAGAAGTTAAAATTTGTAATTTTCCCCAAAAGCAGAAGAAATACTTCTGCTACTGCTCAAAAGTATTTTTTTATTTTGGCCAAACACATTAAAATTTCCAACGCCTCCTAGAAGCTTGGGCAAACAGGCACTTAGTTTTTGGATATATAACAACTGAAGTTCTAAGTATTCAAAAATGTTACAAAAACCAAGTCAAAGTTGTTTAGCTAGAGATTGTTGCACATTGTAACTCAGGTAGCATCGTAATTTGCCTTTTCCATCGTAGGTTAGGTACTCGTAATTAGAGTTTTTTTTTTTTTTTGTTAAAAAAAAAAGCATCCTAGTAGAGTTAGTAGTCATAACAAAATAATAATAATGATAATAATAATAATAATAATAATAGCCAAAATTTTATTAAGGATTAACAAGGCGTCTACTGCTACGCTTGTGATCAGATTCAGCTTTAAATAATTTCCTTTCTCGTGTGCTGCTTGATGTATGCTTCTGACTGGATTATCACAAAAAAATGTATTAGCAGTCACCTATGACCAGGGGCAAAGCTATATCCCGGTAAGGGTGACCACCCTTCGTCGGAAAATTACACTGCATATGTAAGTAAAATATTAGGTTTTAGAAATTAGAGGTATATAACATATATTGAAAACATACTTTGTGAGAAATTTTTTACTTCTTTCAAATTTGAATACCCGAGAAAATTCCTGATTTCACTGTTGCCCGGGACATTCTAATGACTGGCTATTATAAAAACTTGGCAGATCAATAAATACAAATATCTCAAGGCTGCTGATTCTAAAAATGATCTTTGGAGTACAATGCACATCAAATGGATTCATGCGAGCACTAACTTTTAGTAATTCAAGGTTGTAAGTTGTAACATAGCGCCTTACAACAGTATATAAATAAAAACTATTTTTTTAACATCTAAGTAGATCTTCTTGTGCAAAAAAGATCTAGCAGACGACATAGAAGAGAAAATTCCAACATTTACTTTGTGCTGTTACACATAATGCTTTACAATATTTTCCAAGAATCTAAAAAGGGCATATCTCCATGTTCTATTTAGGATCAAAGCATAACAGACACCCCAAAATCCGAAAACGAAGCCAATTCCTATGCTAATATAAAATTCTGCACTAGTGAACTCGTCCTCGTCCTCTTCCTCTTCACTATCAACATCCAACGTTGGATGTTGAGGCATTTCGTCGCCAGGGCAAGCTTCTGTTAGTGGAGAGCCACATAGTCCAGGATTTTCAAAGTAGGATGAGGAGTTGAAGGTCTGTGATTGAGTGTCTAAAGGGATTCTACCTGATAAGTTGTAAGACAAGTTGAAGACTCCCAAGTGACTTAACTGTGAAAAGCTACTAGGAATATTCCCTGAAAGTCCGTTTATGGATAAGTCTAAGAAATTTATTGCCCTCAACTGGCCAATCTTCAGAGGGATGCTGCCGGTTAAGTTGTTTCTTGACAGGTTCAAACCAAGAAGACCCACAAGAGAAGTGATTTCCATAGGGATTTCTCCCACCAATTTGTTACTTGAAAGATCTATGCTTTTCACCAATCCAAGTATACTGCTGTATTCAGACTCTCTTCCCTTCCACATCAAAAATGCACTCTCATCATACGAGGCATTCATTGTGACATCACCTTCATCGTCTACCTGAAAATACCAACTCTTGATTTTTTCTGTTGGGCTCTCTTCTTCAGTCATTGCAGCGAGTTTGTTGATACATTTTGGTATGGTCCCAGATATCTTGTTTTGCGATAAGTCTAAGATTTGAAGCTTTGTTAGCTGGCATATGCTTGAAGGTATGCTTCCACTGAACTTGTTGGACCTTAAGATAACAACTATGATATCAGTTAAGCTATTCCCAATCCATGCTGGAATTTCACCAGACAAGGCATTTTCCCCAACATCTATAAAACTCAACCTTTGGCAGTTTTCTAGGGACCGGGGTAGTTCTCCAGTCAACTGATTTTTTCGAAGGTGTAGCATTTCCAACATCTGCAATGATCTCATTGAATTAGGTATCTTCCCAGAGAAATTGTTGTTGGCTAAATTGAGATGCGTTAGACTTCTAAGCGTCCAACAACTTGGAAGCTCTCCTGATAACAGGTTATCTGAGAGGTCAAGATATCCTAAGGAATCAAAATTGTCACAAACAAAAGAGATGGTCCCAGAAAAAGAATTTCTGGAGAGATCAACCGTTGTCACGTTAGTAGGAAGTTGTGGTATTAGACCACTGAATTTGTTTGAACTCAAATCTATTCGAAGAAGAGCAGTCTTTCTTGAGAGATCTGGTATAGTTCCACCAATATCATTGTAAGAAAAGTTTAAGAAGTTGAGTCCAGGTAGCTGGTCCCAGAACCAACTAGGAATGTTACCTGAAATTCCAGAGGCTGACAAATCAAGTACAGAAATGTTATTCTGGTTCCGCAGCCAGTTTGGAAAGTCAGGACCCAATCTACAGTGTGCCAGACGAATGCCCTCCAGTTGAAATGGGGGGATCCAATCTGAACTGATCTGAACATGTAGTTGAGCATTGAAAGAGAGATCCAACTCGCGTAATCGTGGGAGTTTGAAAAGATGAGCTTCAGATATTGTGCCTTCGAACTGGTTAGAATCGAGGTATAACCTCTCAAGTTTGGAAAGGCGTCCAATACTGTCAGTTAAGCCACTTAACTGATTATGGGAAAGATGCAAATCCCTCAGAGATGATAATAGCAAAAGATCGGGGACTGATCCCGCGATTCCATTCCAAGATAGATCTAGAAGAACAAGACTTGAAAGTTTTCCAACAACTCTGGGAATGGATCCATTCATCTCATTATGTCCGAGCCTCAGTTCTCTCAAAGATGAAAAGTTTGCTAAAACATCAGGCAGTAAACCACTGATATGATTCCTTTCTAGGTTCAGGTATTCTAGAGAATTTGTCATGCATGACAAGTTTTTCATTATCTGAGGCAGCTGTCTAGTCAAGCTACAAAAAGATACTCGCAACGATTTCAAATTACTAATTTTCCCAAAGCAACTGGGAAGACCACCTCCAAATGCATTGCCAGACAGATCAAGTTGTTGCAGGGATTTCATATTCCATAAAACAACAGGAATGGGACCTTGGAAAAAGTTTCCAGAAAGATTTAGATGAGCAAGGGATAACATGTTCCCAAATGCATCGGGTATAAGACCATCTAAATCATTAGAAGAGAGATCAAGTTTAACCAGATTGGTAATGTCAAACAGCCAGGTGTATATAGAAGTATTCAGAAAATTAGAGGAGAGATCAAGGGTTGTAAGGGAAATTGGAGGAGTACTGGAAGTGAGGACTTCAGGGAGCATAGAACGACGAAAGCTCAAGACTTGGAGGAAGGGAAGCTCGGAAACTGCTTCTAGCCAATCATTTGCTTTACTTAGATCAGCACCATTTATGACAAGATATCTCAATTGACGAAGATCAGAGAGCCACTTGAGGTTATTCACAGATAGAAAATCATTATAGCTCAAATCAAGGGTATTTAAATTAGAAAGGTTGCCAATATTGGAAGGAACTTTTGTAAAATCATTACCAACACAAGATAAGTTTAAGTAATCTAACTTACTCAGAGAACCAACAAAATCTGGTATGCCTCCTGAAATTCGATTGTAACTAAGATCCAGATATTTCAAATGCTTTAGTTCTTGCAAGGCAGGACTTATCTTACCAACCAATGGTGCAACAGCAACATTTGCATTGGCACCAGAGGGGCCACGGAGAACAAGTCGGATGACATTACTGGTTTGATTATCACAATGGACGCCTCTCCATCTGCAACAATCTTGATTATATCCTTCATTTCCCCAAGAAGAAATTCGGCCTTGGACGTCCAACAACTCCCGTTTGATCCTGAGAAGAGCTTCTTTCTCTGCCTTGAGGCACTTGATTTTTCCGTTACCAACTTCTGAACTGAACACAACGTTATAATTGAGAATTAGTGTCACACAAATATTAAACAAAATAAACTGTTGAATGAACTTTCTTGCTATACCCATCTTAAGAATATTGAGCAAAGTACTACTAAGACTAAAGGAAACTTGAAAATATAAACAACTGCATCTCTGCAGTTACGTGACAAATCCCAAGAATTTTATAATCTGCTATAGCTAACTTAGTCAAAAGAGCAGATTAAATTAGTCCCTTTTATTCTTCTTTTTGCAAAGATGAGAAGACTTCTCAGCTAGTGAAAAAGTCTTTGTGATTCTGATTATAAAACTAGGAAAAGTTTGAGAAAATGCAGCCTCTTTCCTGCCCTCTTTGATGGAATTTTAGAATATCTCCGTAGGTTTAGCTAGTCTTGTGAAAGCGAAGTTGATTCTGTTGCCAAGTCAAACTAATTTCTAGAAAGGTGGAGTTAAATTAAACATACCAGGACAAAAACGAACAACGTACATAGCTCAGGCCTGCATGTTTTCAGCAATTTTATTTCTGCCACGTCTATGGCTTTTAACATCAGTCTTCAGGTAATTTTAGCTTATATTGCTAACTCTTCCCTTTAACATTTAACCTTAATGTAGTGTAGCAATATGATTAATGAATTAGCCGAAACTAAAATTGAGGTTTCTAAGTGAAGTTTTGCAATCGAGAATAAGAGTTAGTGGTATAATAATACGAATTATGAACTCAATGTCCCATGGAAGGAGTATATTACTACATAAGGATATGTTTAGATTTATTACTTTAAGTTAATGCTATAATTCTATGTTAGTTAGCATCATTGGACTAATAAACAGTTTGTAGTTACTTGTCAATTGTTGATAAGAATTTGATTACTATGACTGTGAGTCATACTCTGACTTCAGACTCAACTAAAAATCAAGCACGTCATAAACAATCACACAATTGACATAGCTTTGAATCTTTCGACTTTCCTGCTATGATGTAGTGGCAAGCTATCAAGACTGAATTCCATCCTATATTATCGTCATTACGAAGATTTAAATTGAATTTCCAGTTAACAAAATGAGCTCTCCATGTGAAATATTAGTGGAAAATGTCCAGTTCAAGAAAGAAATATTAGTGGAAGATGTCTCATTATGAAGTCTAAACCAAACGAGCTTAGTGTAAGCAGTAAGCATGTATTTGTGAATTTTATAATTTTCAAGGTGGTATATGGTAAAAACGAAGCACTTCTATTACAGAGAAGAAGGGCAAAGGCCCTCGCAAGCATGAAATAGAGAAATTGGGGCACATAATTAATTACAATTGAAGATGACATGAGTGTTTGACCAAACAAATGTAGATTTTTGATTAAACTAATTAATTTTATATAAAAAAAATTAAACCTAGTTAATAATAATATTTCCAGATTTATAATTTGTTAACTCAAATAAAATCGACCGTATTGGCAAAGGATTAAATGCAGCATACCTTCAATGTTTCCAATCATTAATGATAGAAGAACTTCAAATAGAAGAAATAACGTAAAATCCAGATCTAAAACACCCCAAAATCTCACCCAAAAACCAGCAGCGAAACCCAACGTAAACCAGTCCAAAACGGGAGCTCAAACGCAACAAAAATCCTGCAAAAACACACCAATGATCAGCCTCCAAAACAGACCCAGAACAGCTCCTTTTTTCGCACAAAACAGCAGCGCCAAGAGTCGAGGTCGACGGTGAAAAGTCCCGTTTCTTTGGTCCTGTTCGAGTTTCCGCTTCGGCTCTTTGTTCGCATCTATGTATCAGTCAGTTCCTTGATAAAAAGGGAAAGTTGTGCTCATCAAAGGTCCATCCTCTTCTTTTAATTTCATTTTTTGTTCATGAATAAATTAATGTCATGCTTTTATTAAATTCCATCAATCGTTTGGTTGCTCTGTTTCTGAATCCTTGAGTTACTATCACGTTGCTTTGTATGGTGGAATGTTTTTGAGTTCTGTTAACTTTGTTCTTATTAATGTAGGTGCTTAATTTTGATTTTTGAATCCTAAAAAATGCAAGAACAAAGAATGCTCAATGTTTGCCGTGGAAATTCTCTTGTTTTGGCTTATGTCATATGTGTTTGCGTCGTTAAGGTTTGATTTCTGCTTGTTTGGATGGTTGTTACCCATTGTATCGTATTGTATTGTTATCCTAAAACAATGTTTGTTTTGATTGTTTATTTAAAATTGATTGTATTAATTCTTATAGGATTTTGCATCTGATTCCTGTAAGCAGTAAGTCATGAATTCTTAATAAGCCTTTGTCACGACCCCAAATTTCCTCCGTAGGATGTCGTGATGACACCTGGTCTCTAAGACTAGGTAAGCCTATCAATGCGGAATAAATGAATATAAACTTCAAATTTAACAAATTCAACTCCCAAAACCCGGTAGGAATAAGTCACAAGCTTCTAAGAATTTATTCTAAATGTCTCTATACATTAGAGTCTAAAGAGAATAAGGAATACAACATAATAAGGATAGAAGGGGACTCCGAGGTCTGCGGACGCTGGCAGATATACCTTGAAGTCTCCGCGTACGGCTAGTTCACTGATGCCCTGGTCTAATAGGAAGTACCTGGATCTGCATAAAAAGATGTGCATGAGCGTAGTATGAGTACACCACAGCGGTACCCAGTAAGTGTCAAGTATAACCTCGGTAGAGTAGTGACGAGGTCAGGTCATGCCTTATTAGAATAATAAATTACAGACTCGGTAGAGAAAAGTTTAACAATATAATAATAATAACAATGACAATGAGAATGAATCAAGTAAGTAGTATGTCACAATTTAACTACACAGAATAAGGGCAAATAACACATCGCGGAAGGAAAATAAAAATTTACAACTTTAAGGAAAACACCAAAATAACCAAAGGCAATGCAGCCATAAAGAAATATCAACAAGGGCACTCCCGAGGTACCGCCTCGTAGTCCCAAATCATAAATAAATTCACAATATCTCATTTCCTTATATCACCGCGGGAGCCTTCACATTTAATTTTAAAGAAAATATTTTTTCCGAAATAGCATCCCGCATTTTAGCCACCCTTATCACACCGCATGGCTTCTAGTAGTTCCCCTACTAGCCACGCGTATCAAGCCACTCTTATCTCACCGCATGTGTTTCAACACCGTGACCTTATACTACCACATGCGTATCAATATCACAATATATCATAATTCGTACCTCAAGTGTCCAAATATTTTAACTTGTCAAAATAAATCAACAACAATAATATTTTTCACAATAAGGAGCTCACGACTCATGCTAAAATAAATCAACAACAACAATATTTTTCACAATAAGGAGCTCACGGTTCAATCACAATGAGTACAAAAATCTCATAAAATATTCAACAAAAATAATATTTCACAAATTTAACACCTTGTCTAAATATCAAAAAAAAAATTAGATGTAAAATACTTCATTTTAATAATATTAAATTAAGAAATCAAACTTTCAAATAATGCACAGAGCAAAAGAAAATAAAGTTTCAACTAAACATGTAAAAACACCTAGCAGGAACATGTCAGGCAAATTTAAAATACTAAAATATATTAATGATGATGAATATAGCAGAATAAAATAACTTAATTAATATGCAACAGTGATCNAGTATGCCTTTTCCTCGATTTTTTGACTCCGATCGGCTCGAATCTAATCATAATTATTTTGATTCAATCAATACAAATTATATGAATTAATTTCATATGAAAATACATATTTGTCAACAAAAATCCGAAATTTATCTCAAAAATCGCATGTGGGGCCCACATCTCGGATTCCGACGAAACTCACAAAATTCGACAACACATTCAATTACGAGTCCAACCATACTAGTTTCACTCAAATCCGACTCTAAATCAACATCGAAATCTCAAAAATTCGTTTTATGAGATTTCTAAATTTTCCCCAAATTTTCATCTCAAAACACTAATTAAATGATAAAAACAATGATATATTCGTGTATAGTGACCAAATAAGAGTTAGAATCACTTACCTCGATGTTATCCTTGAAAATTTCTCAAAAATCACCTCTCCCCAAGCTCCAATTTGTCAAAAATGAAAAATGGGATGCAGTCCCCTTTTTATAACTTAAACTTTATGTCCAGGCGCTGCCCTCGATTGCTACCCCCGATCGCTGTCTCAATCCTTGCCCTCGATCACTGTCCTTGATCGCTGCCTTGATTGATTCCCTCGATCACTGCCCTCGATCTCTGCCCCCGATTTCCAGCAAAAAAATTCCAGCAACTATTTAAGTCCAAATGTTGATTTGTTAACCATCCAAAACTCACCCGAGGCCCTCACGACCACAACCAAATACACCAACAAGTCATAAAATATCATACGAACTTAGTCGAAACCTCAAATCACATAAAACAATGCTAAAACCATGAATCATACCCCCAATTCAAGCTTAATGAAACTTAAAAATTTCCAACTTCTACATTCGATGCCGAAACCAACCAAATCAATTCTGATTGACCTCAAATTTTGCACACAAGTCATAAATAATATAACGGAGCTATAAAAATTTTCAGAATTGGATTCCGACCCCGATATCAAAAAGTCAACTCCCCGGTCAAACTTTCCAAAAATTCAACTTTTGCCATTTCAAACCAAATTCCACTACGGACTTTCAATAATTTTTTGGATACGATCCTAAGTCCAAAATTACCATACGGAGCTATTGGAATAATAAAAACTCTTTTTTGGGGTCGTTTACACATAAGTCGATATCCGGTCACTATTTCAACTTAAACTTTAAACCTTGGAACTAAGTGTTCCAATTTATTCCAAAAATATCACCGGACCCAAACTAATCACCCCGGCAAGTCATATAACAACTTTAAAGCATAAATTGAGCAGTAAATGGGCGAACGAGGTTGTAATACTCAAAACGACCGGTCGGGTCGTTACAGCCTTGTATTGAAGTTTGCTGGGAGATAGCATTAAATTAAAAATTTATAGTCTTACTTGTTTACAACTAAGAGCCTTATGAGCACAATTTGGTTAGCAAATCAATGAGTTGTATATTAGAGTTGAGAACGAGATTGGGCTTGGGTATGTTAAG